AGCATGCAGTGGGGAGGCTTGCTGTAACTGTAACTGTGACGGGACAAGTTGTGGACACTCTAATGGAGGAGGAGGACCAGTAGAAGGAGGGAGACCAAGAACCTGCTGAAGGAGCGGAACGAAGTACAACCGATGCCGCGCGACGACTCCAGACACAGCAGGGACAGCACCAGTACCCCGAGCGGCAGCACCAGCGCCAGTAGCACCTCCAACTCCAGTCCTCCAGCAGCACCAGTAGTACCCCCAGCAGGACCGACTCCAGGATTGACAGCAGTAGCCTCAGCGCCAACACCCTCAGCAGCTCCAGCTCCAGTCGTACCCGCAGGCCTAGCAGCTCCAGTACTCCCAGTACGAGCACCTCCGGGACCCATGGCACCAGCACCCTCAGCAGCCGAAGAACCTCCAGCTCCAGCAGCACGCCTCCAGCACCCGGCAAACCACTCACGTAGCTCCTGTGGAGAGAGTGGCTCCCGCCGAGACGAAGCACCCGGAGAACCTCCAGGCCCAGCACCGCCAGACGCCACACAAGCAAGCCCAGCTCCCGCAAGCTCCACACCCCCAGACTCAGCACCTCTAGGCGTAGCACCCCCAGGCTCAGCACCCCCAGGCTCAGCACCCCCAGGCTCAGCACCCCCAGGCTCAGCACCCCCAGGGGTAGCACCCCCAGGCTCAGCACCCCCAGACTCAGCACCCTCATGCTTAGTACCCCCAGGCGTAGCACCCACACGCTCAACACCCCTAGAGTCAGCACCACCAGGCTCAGCACCCTCAGCAGCACCAGAGTCACCAGTAACCTCGAAAGGCTCGATTGCGTCTACCAGGGACACACCTGAAGGGGCAGGACCCTGAGGGGGGAGGGGGTCTACCAAGGGGGGACCTGGCACAAGGAAGAGCGGTGGCGGGGGGAGGGACGGAGTGCGGTAGGGGAAGAGGCGGTAGTAGGGGACCGACTCGTCAAACGTGACGTCTGAGAGGACAGAACACGGCGAGAGGTGGGGTGGTAGAAATGCCACCCTGGCGCATCAGAGGGGAAGCCAAAGTAGACGCAAGGAGCAGCACGAGGGAACAGCTTTTCCGAAGACAAGTCGCGGACACACGCCCGAGATCCCCAGACACGGAACGCAGACGCATCGTCAACCTTCCCCGTCCACAACAAAGGTGGGGAGGTCTCCGGCCTGGAGACCCTGGGCTAAAGGTTGATCTGATGCGTTGCGTACCGAACCACAAACGGCCACAGAATATGGGGAGCAGCCGCATGCATCATGGACGTACGGGCGACGTCCATGACCATGCCAATGCGGCGCTCAGGAATCCCATTTTGCTGTGGAGATTCCGTAAGCGTGAAGGTCTGGCGGATGCCTCGTGCACGATACTAGGCTCGCAAATGGCCATAGGAGAACTCTCCGCCTCTGTCACAGTGCAGACGCAAAACAGGAAAGTCTGAGCCGAAGCTCTGCCTGCGCGGATCCAGTCGAGCAACTCCTTAGTGACATCACCCTTGCTGCGCAAGGGGAAGACCGTGGTGTAATGCGAGTAGTCGTCAACCACCAGCAGGAAGTAGCGCTCCTGACCCTGTCCACGGACGCGGGCCGGGCCCCACACGTCCATGTGAAGCGTCTGCATCGGGGCCTCTGTCGGAGGAAACTGGGAGGACTGAGGGGCAGCCCGCTGCCGCCCCTCGACACAGGGGACGCAGGCAGGGGCAGACCCCGGGGGAAGGGGAGGGAGGGACCGGGGAAGACCAGAGACGAGGAGACGGGAGGCCATGCCTCGGAGACAAAGCGGGGAGGGGTGACCAAGGCGGTGGGGCCAGAGGAGAGTCTCGTGAGACAGGAGGCGACACGAGCAGGGGGCAGACTCAGGACCAGACCTGGACGCTGCAGCAAACACCTGACCCGAAGCAGCTACCTGACCAGACGCAGTGACTGAAGGAGGCTCAATGGTCAGTGTGTACAAGCTCGACTCCGGCCAACGTATAAAGGTGGCTAGGTGTCGGCCTGTCCGAGCGTCCGTGCAGTGGGTCACCCGCTGACTCGCAGGAGTGAACTGGTGAACCCCCGCATCCTGTAGGTCAGCACCACTCACCAAGTTCGTAGAGAATGAGGGGAGGTACAGACTAGACAGGGTGCCAGGAGGGGCCGCCGGACACGGGAAGACAGTGGAGAAGTGAGCAAGGACAGGACCCTTAGAGGGGTCTGCCAGAGAGACTGCAACTGGCCGACCAAGCGGCGTGAGCGTGGTGCGGTCTCGATTGAAGGAGCGAGAAGCCCCCGACTCAAGGGTGAAGGTGTGGGAGGCCGAAGCCGACGCGGTACCTGAAAGCGCAGACTCACCAGCACCTGAGGAAGCAGACTCACTGGCACCTAGAGCAACAGCTTCGCTAGCACCTAGAGCAGCAGCCTCACCAGTACCTAGAGCTGCAGTTTCAATGCCCGGGCCGGGCAGAAAACACCGGTAACAGTCACCCTCCTCACTAATAGTCACAGCATACATGGCAACA